CATCAGATACTCAAAGTACTATCATTACGTGCCACCCGTATAATCAATCACAAAATGGCAAAGAATCTCTTGTTTAAGAAAGTCAAAAAGAAAAGACTGCAAACATACTTGAACTTTGCCACTGTGTCCTCCACCAAAGCATGATTGAGTAGAATGCCAGTAAAAGCGCTGTTCCAGCCATTATAATCGCAAGTCCAATGATATGTCGATCCAATATAACAATCAGCCAACAACCCCAAGCAATCAAGATTGCAATAGGGGACACCACCACAATCCAAGCAACAAGAGACAGGAAACCACATAGCGCATCTAGCTGAGGACCTTGCAACACTTTCGGCCATTTTCTAGCAAAGATCCAGCTGCCAATAAAGAAAGCAATAACTCAACTCCGGTTCTAGCTAAATACTACAGATAAAAAGGTAACTCTACAGAGTATCTCTCAACCACCAAAGATAACAAAAAAACACCTAAATTTTAACAGATTTGTTACCTATAAAGCCGCCATGGACGCCAATTAACTGACCAAAGTATCCAAAACGAACCGGAACCGAAAACAGTGAAGAGGGCACCCGAAATAACACAAGCCAGCAAGACTCCTCGCTCATCCCCTTCCATGGCTTCTTCTTCCCACCTACAAGGGCATGCACAACTCTAATATCAAAATTCCACCACAGGGGAAGTTAAAAGCCTCAAGCTTGCACGAAACTCACAGCTCAAAAATCGAAGCTTAAAGAGAGGAATCCATACCTACTAGACCGAGATGAGCTTACTGAGCAGTGGCATGACGGTGAAAATCGAAGGGATCGACTAAAGTTGGAAACTTTAACAGCTCCTCAATCGAAAGGAGACATCTTTGGTGCGGATTAGGGTTTTCAAAATCAAGCTGTAAAGTAAGGAGAAGAGCAAGAAAGTAAGAGTTGGGTTCTCACTGTTACGAGCTTGTGGAGCACAAAGTCACTTCCTTTTAGGGTTTTCTCTTGTTTTTTTTTTTTTGAATAAAATTCTCAGAGGATTTTTCTCAGGTTTTGGGGGAAATGGATAGCAAGCGAGAAGGTAAGATTAAAAACCCTACCCTCAAATGTGTGTGTGTGTGTGAACCGTAAAAAAAGCTACAACCTTTCTCTTTCTTCACATAAAACGAGTCTTGTGTAGTGAGAGAAAATGCCTGTGGAAAAAAAAAAGCAATTAATTTAATAATATATTGAAATTTAAAAGGTATGGCTCTTGTCCGAACAAACGCTAGAGGCGCGTGTAAAGCCAGGTACCAATGAGCTATCGCGTGAGTAAAACGCACTGAGTTTTAATTGGTCAGTGAGAATAGAAGGATTTTCGGCATTTTTAGATTAAGATATGTAAAAACAAACTTATACTATATGTAATGCTTCTTTCTTTAACTACCATTAATATCTGTAATTATCTTAGGACATTTTTTATTTATTTAGACAGACAATATTAAAGGCACAAAACCAATAGGTTTATTTTTATGTTAAAATATAGTGATTTTGTATGTTTAAATGATAAAATAGTACCTAACCTATCTTTTCATATGACACAATTACTTAAATAATTAGTTAATTACAGTTTAGTCTACTGAGGTTATACGCTCAAAGCTCATAACCGGGAAAAGGAAGTGGAGTACCAATGTCTCTGTCACAAAATTTAAAACATTCACCTATATAGTATAATCTAAATTTAGAATTTTAAATAATTTTGTCTTCGTATATTCATTAAACCCCATATTTAAGCCGATTAAGTCAAAGATTGTCTACTGAACCTAGAAGACCATATTGATTTTCAACTGCAGTCCATTATCACTTTCTAGACCCCATCTCTCCCTCTCTCTCTCTCCAAATGTGAAACCAAATTCAACAACAAAAAGCAAAAGAGAAAACAAAATAAAATATCTTTTGATGGAAAAAAAGATCTCTTATTGTCAAAAAGGTAATTAGGGAGTAGGTTAATGATATTAGTTCACTCATTCATGCAAAAGTTGATTATAGTTTTTTGAATTTTTTTGAGAAACTTGTTGATGGCATGTGCAATAGTTATCCTCAGTTTTTCTTCAAAATAAGATAAATTGAAAAAGACTTTGTATTTTGTTTTAATGGTTTCCATCATTTTTCTCATAAAATATATTTAAAGTGTATAATATTTTATATTAGCCCTACTTATTATTAATTAAAAATACTTATTAATTTGTAAAACTTACAAATTTACCCAGACAGAATTTAATTTGAACTAAATAATTGTTATATACATATGTTTAGTTTCTAAAAACATAAAATGATTTTAATAAAATTATAATTGTATTATTAAAGTGTTAATAATTTTTTGAAGTATAAACATACAAATACAGAAGCTTTTTATATTAAAAATTATATGAATGTTTAAGGACTATTTTATAAATGAAAAAGCTTAACACTAAAATGAGTTTGTGAGGAAACACTAATAGCACTCATTTTTTCTTCAAAATGATACATCACTGAAGAAGATTTTTCCTAATTTTTGGATGTTTTCCCTCAAAATGAATGACCATTGGAGATGGTCTCTCTAGTATCATTCATTTGATTAAACAAATCACAGTTCAATATGGAGACAAAGTATGAGTTCACTAAAGGCCAAAGTTACTAAGCTTTCAAAGAAACTTGGGCCTCACCTTCCTCTTCCCCATCTACTTACATAAAGACGTAGAAGATGAAACAAACAAAACTAACTAATACATTAATTTTACCATCCCTAAAATTACCCAAGAAGGTGGATTGAGTTAATGTGTGTAGAAACAAACACAGTGAATTCACATGACTAGAGACCTCCAGAGACGAGGTAGTACATTATTATAATAAGATATAGTAACATATATATAATCTCAACTGTAATTACGCCATAGTAACTTCTATATATTAGCCTTCCATGTCTCTGTAGAGCTCTTCTTCTGTATATATTCAGAGATGTAAAGATACCTAAGAATCATCTATTAATACAATCTTAATATGGTATCAGAATCATTATTCGTGTCTAGTTTATGGACACTTCTCTTTTTAATTAAAACCTCCATAGTAGAATTAATGACCTTAATCATCATTTTTTCGTGGTTGAACGTCGTAACAGTTAGACTGTTCGGTGAATTTGAGGTTGCTTGAGTAATCAACCACAAGAATGTTCCTGAATTAACTTGCTTTGCTAAAGCCTTCTTTAGGGATCTAAGTGTAGTGGCCATCTGGCTGTGATTTCACTACTTCTCCTTCCCATTCAATCACCGATGCACTTTCCATGAAGAGAAAAGATGGCCAATATCCTAAAACCAAGCCGTTTCCAAATTGCACCCAATCCACCAGTGTCCCTCTTTTGGATCACGGGACAAAGTTAGCAGAGACCATTTTGAAATCAATTAATATAGAAAGATTTCAGTTTTTTCGTGTCTTTTGGGTTGCACTTGGCCAATCTGATTATTAATTCTCTTTTGTGGCTTAACATACCTTCTAAACATGGAAAGAATACACACGAATCATCACATTTTCCTAGATGTTACCAAAGAAATAGCAATGGAGTATCTGCCAGCCAGCTTCGAGACTGTCTAAATCTTGTCCGAATTAATGAGCCACCAAGAAGCCATATGGTCCATATCTGTGACAAGCTGAACTCATACATTTTATAGTTGCCTTACCTCCACAATACTTATGACCTTCCACATAAGCTATCGCATGCTGCGGTTCGAGACACCAAAACATAATAAGAAAAAGATATATACACGTATGTGTATAGAGCGCATGCACATGGTTCATTGAACTCATACACGTATGTGTAAGCAACTGTTAGCTGAAGTTAAAAGATCTTCTTATACTTGAATGAACACTGATACATCCACACACTTATCCGAACTGAGATCGTGGTTGGTGTTATGAAAATATAAAGGTAATCAATGGAGTGCTTAACCGAGGGGGAATTATGATTAATGTTTTTAGAGTTGTTAAACGATCTTTTGAACACCTGACATCGTCTTTATCCATTATTGATTTACCTCACCAAATCTTTGCATCTACAAAAGTGGTTGATCATGATTTCAGTGGTTGTTAGGCGTTTTTTTATAGGATATGATGAATCATGAAAGGAGTAGCAATGGCATTATGATGAATGATCAAAGACACTTTGATTAATGCATGCACAAGAGAGGAGGTGGAACCACACGCTTTTCTAACTTTTTGTTTTCTTTTCTTATACCACACCATTATTGTCTTCATAATGCAAACTGTTATACACTTTTAAGAGTTATAGATTATCCTATATTTAAAAATATTTATAAGTAGTTGAGAAAATAGTTTACGGAAAATGGAAACATTTGAAATGATGGGGAAAAATTGTTACTAAGTATCATGATTTGTGCTTTTGATTCCAAACACAGATTCCACGTGTAACTGTGAGGCCATATGTATAACATTGTGTAGCAATGTATGTTTGACATGATTGGGCATGATCATGTGAATGGATGTAAGCGTTTGTCTTGAGGGAAAGACTATTGAGACATGTGACATTTTCTTGTTGTTTCTTGTTCTATCTTTTTCCTGGTGAATCACAGACACTAATGCAAAAGATGACACTATTTGAAGCCTAATTTGACTTGTTACTATCATCTTTGCTATCAAAATGTCAAGCATGTTTTCTTCTTTTCGTTGTTTCACACTAAAAGTCATGCATTGTATGATAGATTCTCCTACATGTAAATATTCAAACAAATGTCACAAACATGTTGGGCCAGAAGTCTAAACACAATCAATTGACCCAGACCGGCCCATATGGAAGATAATGGCATTGCATTTGAGTACCACTATCTATCTATTGTTATCAAAAGAGATTCATAAAGCAGCTGGATACAATGTGCTTTACTTGGGAGAGAGAGATTGATTCTCCACGTTTTATAAACCGAGTCTGAAACTTTGAACCGATCTAGGACAACGATGTCTTTAGAATCTCTATAAAGTATCGAATTTTTGGAAAGTGTTAACATGTGTTTATAAACTACTACTAAACAACTCTATTTCTCTGTAGGTGAACAACCAATTCATCACATGGGTCAAGAATCTCAGCTCAATCACTCGAGATGCAGCAAAAAGCATGTATTTTTTTTGGCAATAAAGAAAATTTTCTGCTGACAAATCAATCCAAAAAACAAAAAAGAATCGTCCTTGAAACCACACAAGTTCCCACCCATCTACCATGCATTCAAGACTTGTGATCTGAGAAACCTAGGCAACTGGATTAAATGACCACAATCTCACTGTCCAGAAACGATCACTTTGTGGTCTTAATAGGAAATGAAGAATCAACACTAGACGTAAAAAAAAAAAAAAAAAATCAACTCTTTTCTGAGACATCTAACACGAAATCAATATATTAATTAGCACATGGAAAGAACACAACCATTGCTCAAAAGAAGAACAACATGAAACTGAAATTTGTAAACTTTATTGACCTTTGTAATTGAACATAAAAAAAGATTATAAACTTTTCTCAATAAACAGAGCATCATAACAACCTAATCAACCAGCTCAGAAAAGTCAATCATAATGGGAGTAGTGATTGTAATAGTCATCATCATACGAAGAAGAAGAAGAAGATCGATCATCACCATCATCATCATCAGAATCATCATAAACATGATGATGGTGATTATAGAGATTATGTTCAAAAGCAAGTCGATCTTCATCATCAGCATCATCAGACAAAGAAGAAGAAGCGGATTGAGATTCGTGGTAGGTGTAAGAGTAGAAGGAATCATCAGGAGGGAGACACATAAAAGTCCATAAACATAGAACCAAACGACTCAACTGATACATCGGATAGCAAACCGCCATGTCCACAAGCTGCCTTGTGTTGATCCTCTGCGACGTCGGTATCCTCCACATCACCTGCCATGTCTCAGTTGAGACGTCGGCGATCGCCACAACCGCCGCACTGTTGAACACCATAAACTCCAAAAGACTCTCTCTCTCTTTCTCTCTTCCGTGTGGTTTGGTCGTCGATTTGACTTTTCGTGAGTTTGTTGGGTAATAAAGAGAAAGACTTTTTAAACGTTTTTATTACACAACTAAACAGAAAGAGATATGTTTTGTTTATTCAATGTCGACCATAAAGTTGTTATCTTTGCAAGTAGGGAATCAATTCGAAAGTTGGAACTAGTCCTTGACGTTTGGTTTTCAGTTTCGGTTCGGTTATTATGGAGATTTAGGATTCGTTTTGAGTATTTCGGATATCCGATTTAGTTCTGGTTCATTTTTTCGGTTATTAGTTCGGGTAACAAAATTATGAATATGCTAATATTCAAGATATATTTGGATCCTCATTTGATTTCCGATTTTTTGGATAGTTCCAGTTTTTTTTTGGTTCACCTGGATAGTTCGAGTTTAAAAATTAAAAATTCAGATTTTTGGAGTTAAATTAAATAATTTGGACAATTTAAAAATTATATAATAAAAGATATTCTATTAATATTTATAAATAATAATTTTAAATTATTTGATTCTTTTAAAACTAAATATAGTTAATATTTATAAGCATACAAATTATGTTTATAAATATCTTTCGGTTCTTGGTTCGATTCCAACTATTTGGTTCTAGAAATATACTATTTGTTCAGATAATTGATAGAATCCAAACCGAACCAAATCTTTTCCAATTCGATTTGGTTCTTCGGTTCGGGATAAATGTGTAAGAAGAAGCACAAAGTCAAAAGCTTTCTGACAAGAGCCAGACCTTTTGTTATGTTATAAGCCCGGCCCATTACTAATCTTGGCACCAGAGGAGACAGAGATAGAGGCGCTGAAGGCAGCAAGTGGTCATTGAAGTGGGAAGAAGATAAGGCCATCAGAGCTGTAACAATGGCTCTGTCTCATTCCACGTTTGTTTCACATGGTTGTACTCTTCCTCTGTCTAGATACTCAAAGCTTCCTCTTCTGAGTTCACCTTCTTCGCCACTTCACTTCAGTCAAAACGTAAAAAGATTAGAATCTGTTCACCTTCCACCTCCATCAGCAGCAACAGCAGCTTCATCGTACTTTCCAATCGATGTCGAGTATCTCAAGCGAGAGTTCTCTGGCCATGGAGCCACTTTTGAGGATATAGGTATGTTTTTTGTCTAACTTATCTCCTTCTTCGTTTGATGAGAATGTGAAGAAGCTTATACAGACTTTGATGTGATTAGGTGAGACATGTGTTGCTAAACTGAAACTAGACAATGGGAGTTCAGCCAATGTGATGTTAACACGTGGCATGGTAACATCGTACAAAGTCAAAGTCTGGCACGGAGGCAAAGTGGAGCTTCTCCACACATGGGTTGAACAAGAACAAGAAGAAGAAGTAGTAGAGATTAGAGGAGGTGTTTCATCTGCATTTAGCTCGTCATCAGATTCTCATAATGAATGGAGTCTCCATGGGATCACTGGAGATTCAAATGATTGTGTGCAAGTGGAACTGAGAAGAAGTGACAAGAAGATCAAAGAGATTGAGATGAAACAGATTATAACTCTCAGAGGAGACACACTAAGTATTGAGCTTTTTGTGACAAACAAAGGAGTTTCACCAGTCAGTATTAAAGGCTGTTCGCTTGTAAGTTACTTGACAGTGAGCACACCAGAAGCCACATATGCAGTTGGGTTGGAAGGTTCAGATTTTGTTGAGAAGACTCCGTTTCTTCCTCGTTTTGGTTTGGTTCAAGGAGAAGAAGAGGAGGAAGAAGAAGGGAAATATGGGTTTAGTGGGGAAGAAGAGAGCAACTACAAACAGTTGAGTGAAGAGATGAGTAGGATTTACACACTTGCTCCAAGTAGCTTCACTATAATTGACAGGGTAACTAATTAATATAACATTACTACTTTCAGTAGAAACTTCATTTCGAATTTTTCTTTGTCAGGGAAGAAGGAACTCAGTGGTAGTGGGAAGAGAAGGGTTTGAAGAAGTGTATATGTACAGCCCTGGTTCAAAGCTTGAGAGTTACACAAAGTCTGCTTATGTCTGTATTGGACCATCTTCATTGCTAAACCCAATCTCTTTGGATCCTGGTTGTGTTTGGAGAGGTGTGTTGCATCTTCACAATCCTAATTCCTGAGGGTTTTAATGAGCTGACTTTATTATAAAGTCTGTAAAGAGTAAAAACAATTTTAACAGACTTTCTTAGCAAGAACAGTGAAAATTAAATTGGAGACAAGAAAATATTTGGTAATTGGTGCACATGTAATAATTCTTGGCAAACGCCACAAAAAACCCTTGTTCAACTATACAATCTACCTCAAACCATTATCATTTCTTCAAAGCATTTCTACACTGTAATTCATCTTTAAATTTTTGATCTGCAACAGTGGCTCACATTAGCAATCTTTTAGTGTAATTTATTTTACATAGGCATGCAACTCATCAGAAATTTAGACACAACAGCTTTATTGTGTTGGACAATACCAAAACGATGAATTAATACTTTTGCATTATGTGCATAGAAACTTTGAGAGGTCACATTACCTCGATTCCAAAACATTTATCTGTTTTGGGTTCACCTCTGTCATTTGTCCACTCTCACAACTTGTAGCATCTCAATACATTTGGCTTATTAAAAAGAAGTGTTTTTCTTGATTAATTACCTTATCTATTTGGTGCTGAAAAATATAACTAGACATGTGGGAACATTAGTTCTTCTGTAATACACACAACTATTATATTTCTGAGAAATGAGTATTTTTGACACCATGGACGATCAAAATGGTAAATTTAAATACAAAAGTAATGAAACATATGAATCTGAAAATTAATATAAAAGATAATTATCTATATAAACTAATAATAATAAAAATATTTGAAAGTATTCCAAATATCTAACTACATCATGTCACCCAGGTTAAGAAAGATTCCTCCAATCTTTAGTATAGTTATTGTCATCATGTAGATATTTTTGCAACCTTTCTTCATATTTGTTCTTCCACACAAAATATGTTTCAGATTGCTTTCGCCCTATATTTGCATGGATCATATTATCAATATGATTCTGCACAAAATCTCCAGTAATACTATTTCATCCTAATAATAATAAAAGATATTTGGAATATCTAAGATGCATCAGTTCAAAATCCATAACCACTGGAAAGAGAAGAATCACCGGAAGGCGATTATCAGTTCTAAAAACTCCCCTAAAAGAAGCCGTAAAAGTGCATTGATATGGATGTTACCTATTTCCAAGCTATTTCATATTTGGAAGTATTGTCTGTTACAATAGTTATGACTAATGAGAAATTAATTTGATATTTGACAGCAAAGAGTCGTGTTTATATGATGATATTAATTATCTATTGAGTTTGGATTTTACCTATTTGACTATTTCCAAGCTATTTCAAGTAGTATGGATCACCTTATCTCATTAGATGCAAGTTTTGTGTTTTTATTTATGTAAATTGGATGAATATGTGCAACAATTAAACCATTACCTATTACATCTACTCTATTAAAATAGAGTCATTCTTTTTATCTACCGATACAAGTTGTCATTTAAATTTGGACCTTTTCTAGAGTGTTACAAATATGTAACACAAGCCATATAATTAATTAAACCGCATTACTTAAATTAAACCGATGGTTATTTATAGGATATAGTCTTGGGCTTACTTTTGTTTTTAGAACAAATTATATAGTTTGGTTTTGGGCTTAGTATTAAGGAAAAACTTCAAAAACATTGAATAAACTTTCCACCTTAATAGATCAAAAAATCAATTATTATTTTAGGCCCAAAAGATATTTAATATTTTTAACAAAATAAAATTGTCTATTATTAATCATTTATAAAATCTAGAATATATTATTAATTATTTTCTTAAATATATTTTTGCGCGGGTCAAAAAATATATTTATTGTTTTATTTTTCTTAAATAATTTACTGATTTAAAAAAATATAAAGCAAAACCAAAACCCAAATCTAAAAACCAAAAGATGAAAACACAAGTTATATTTTCTTTTTGCTTTTGTTTATTTACAAAATAAACTATTGCAAAAAAATTTGTCGTCTTTTCAGTTTTAAATTAGAAGTTTGATTATTTAAGATTTGTTTGTTGGTAATATCAGTTCAAACTAACTCAACGGATCTAAAAATTAAAAACACAAACCAAAAGCTGAAAATCAAAAGTAGAAACTTAAAAACTAAAAACTAAAAACCAAAAACCAAAATCTAAAACAAAATCTAAAAATAAAACTGAAACTAAAAACAAAGAAAAACAACCATCACCACATATTTTGGTGAATTGATTTTATACCAAAACATTCTTTAAATTAAGACAAAACCCAATTATATAAATTTTTAATCATAAAAAATTTTCGCGCTTTCAAGCGCGGGTCAAAATCTAGTATACTATTAAAATTGATGTACAAATATGAACCAACCCTTAATTAATACTTTAATTACGATTAATTCCACTGAAACAAATCAATCCTATTTTCTAGAATATACTCTATTATAAAACTTCTTGCCTTTTTTGAACTGATTACTTAAAGTTTTCAACTTCACTTTTGTCTAATTAATAACTCAATGTCTAATTAATAACTCATGTACGAAACATAAATTTTTATCATAACCAAATTTCAATGCCTACTACGTTTATTTAGAATTGAATATAGTTAACTAAAACGATCAGTTGGTTTCAAAAATCTACTAAACCACTTACATTTTTTTTTTAAATCCGATCATCTATTCCATTAAAACTGAAGTACAAAACAATATTGTATTAAATGTAAGTGTTTTTCTTACAATTTTCATTTTCCTTTCCTAACACATTATAATCACTTTATTTATTTGTTTTTTTAAATAATTTGACATCATTTATTATAAAATTACAAAGCATGAATTCGAATTACCAATTTCAAAGTGTTTTATTACATTTTGACATTTTTCTCACTTTTCGTAACTAATTAATTATCTTTACCATAATAATTTGTCAACATTTATTTTACATCTTATCCATATTAATTCGATATGTTTTAATGAATTTACTCGTGACAATAATTTA